GCCCACCTCTCCTCTGCCAGGCAATATCCCTGTCTCTGCCTCTCAACAAGCTCTGCTTCTCTCCTGGCCACTCCACTTTCTGTAACATTTTTAGCACTGTGACATGCTGTCTTATGTGCTGTAACACACTGTACTCTGCTCGTGTATCCAATTCCTTCTGCTGTATGAATTCTGCCACCTAAACGGAGCTATAAAAACTATGCAGTGAATTATGTACAACGACCTCCCCCATTCCCTTCCCCACCTTACCAGGCTAGCTCCATTTTTAGCAATCACAAGTCATCTCAGACGCACTGAATAAAAGATAGCTACCTGCCTTCACAGAGCAATTTTGCCTGTTCCCAAGAGGTTGCTGAAGGTGGGATTCACTGTATTTACTGCTGTAACTACAGCTCTCAAGGTCGCATCCTCTCTCAGCTGTGCTGGTCAAGCTTAACAGCACAAAAGGATGTGCTGTTGCTGAACAGGATGACTAATTTCTTGGCGTATGACAGAAACATTCTCCATGCCTTTCCCGGTTTCCATCTTGAAAAGCTTTGATTTCTTATAGCCTGACCTGTATTAACAACACATTTCATTACATTTTTTAAAAGGACTTGGATAAAAGGAGACCCCTAAAGATAATCTGCTATAAGAGTCTAGAAGTCCCCCGGCTTTGGATACTGCAAGAGAGACATTCAGTGAATAGCTACAACATGAATCTCCTGAATGATGCGTTTAGGAATCAAGTCTTTTGGTAATTCTCGAACGACAATGGATAATTTTTGGTGAAGGAAAGTGAATTTTCACATGGCCATATGGTCACAAGCCAGGACAGTATTTTCTCCAGCTTCCTTTTAGTTACTGCTCCATAGCGAAGCAGAGAAGGGCAGGTAGCTCTCCTAGCCTAAGTCCCAGCATTGGTTCACATCAGCCCTGCATGCACAGATGGGAGAACTGGTACAAGCCGTAGCTTGCAGAAACAGCACGAGACAGAACAAAGCCGAGAGGCGCGAGATGCCTGTGCCGGTGGCACGCATGCCGGGCTACATTCTGCCTCCAGCCCTCATCACAACGGCGGCTTCAGGCAGGGCTCAGGCTGGTGCTGCCCTCACGATGGGAAAAGAGAGATGATACGGCTAACAGCAAGATGCTTCCTTGCTGGACAGGCAGACTCATCGCAGATACTACAAGAACAATCCTCTAAGTCTTTGCTAGTCATCACCTGCTGTGCTTTTCTAAGGTAAAAATCACCTTAGCTCTCCATAACTTAATCATCTCAGCAGCGGCCAGCAAGAACAAAAAAGCTGACAAGTACCACTTATTAGGAACTATGGCAGCTAGCAGTCTTTTGTTCCAGGTCCATTTTTGTCTTTCTGCTCCATTTTCAGAAAGAAAAGTGGTTGGCAGAAATAAGTTACACATAAGTCCAGAATCCATTGCTTTCTGAATGTTGTACATCGTCTCGTGCAGCTGAAGCAAAACCCAGCCAAAACAAGATGTAGGTTGTGCAAGAGCCAGAATGGAGCTGGAGATCTCTGTTGAATCTCAGGGGTTTGTTTGTGAGCTATTTCTATATTAGGAGTTTTATCCTTGCAGTAATCTTGGTGCCCTGAGACTACCCGGTAGGCACTTGCTACAGTGGGTAACTGTCCTCTTACGCAGATTTTTAAGTACACACATAGAAGAAACTACCCACTGCTGTACAGATTTGTAATCAGTATTAAGATTGGTCTGGATAAATTATGAATGGAAACATCTGTGTGTGCGAAAGCACAACCAACCTGTCAGCAGCAGACCTGTCCTCTGACGACAGGAGGACGACAACAAAGTTTGAGAGCACACCACTTCCATAGTCTGTCTGAAGGCAGACTATAGCCATAAAGATTCTCCAAACAAGGAAACAAAAAGGTGGCAGCACTGCGTAAGATCTATGGAAGCCGAAAAAAGCAAGATCCTGAGGTGAAAGATCACCCCATAACAACAGGTAAGTCCTAGAAAGTGTAAAAAACAGTCCAAGAGCCAGTCAGTTGTGAAGAACAACTCAGAAGACACAGCAAAGGCTTGACAGATGGTGTCCCTGTCCTCCCTGCAGCACACAGCCAAGCCTGGCTACAGCACCGGGATGCGCGAGGCTTGGCGCCTGCACGGGGCGGTGAGAGTGCGAGTGAAAGCTAGAAGCGTGAATGACTGAAAACAGTTTTGTTTAGAATAAGTATCACCTTTCCCTTCTATAAGGTCTTATGTTGAGTTTTACTATATTAATTTCCTACACTGGTGCACAACCTCTGTACAGTATAAAAGCTGGGTAATATAGCTGGGGGACTTTTTGTACGGCAAAAAAATAAATGGAGCAGTGTGTTGACATTGTCAGCACTTACTGGCATGCGCACAAGCTTAAATTCCAGGAGACACATCCTTTAGACCAGCTAATCTTCAGTATACTTCATCTTCAGGTAAAACCCTAAAGGGAATATTTTCTTGAAGGAGGGCCTAGCATATCTGAGGAGAAGTATACCCCTACGTAATAAGCCTCTCTGTAAAAAAAACCCTGGATTTCATGCACTCTGGTATTCACATGAAAAGCACCGTTGCTCAAAATCACGCGCTACAGAAAATTCTTCAACTGCGATGCTTTGCACTGGCACTGAGCAGCTGTAGCTAGTTGCACCCAGCTCACCACAACAAACATGAAAGCAGTCAATCAGCATCACTTTAAAAGCACGTTTGTATGACTGAGAGCAGATATTTTAAGACCTTCAGCAGCAAAGTTTCACCAAATCTTTGATCATTTCAGTGTGCCACTTTCGGAAGCTGTCCTTTTAGTCCTTAAATTGAAAAGGATTATAAAAACATACGGAACTTGGGAAAAACTCTTGGAAGATGAAGTTTTGAATCCATTTTCCTCCCTGTGTGAACATACTGAAGAGATGCCGGGTAGGAAGAACTAGGGCAACCTCGTCTTGCTGAAAACCAGGTTTTTGACAGTCACCGGTGAAAACTGTCTCTGACCTAGGAGTATCTGCATCAGTCAGAAACCCAGCCTTAAAAAGAAAATAAGTTTGCCACAGCTAACACAGTCATATGAATCTTCATTTTGCCTCCCTGGGAACACAGCTACAGCAAACGAGAGAGGTCAAGAGAAATCTGATTTAGGAGAATACATTTCTGTCCCTCAAAGCTATTCCCCAAACAATTGCTTTCTTTGCTGCAGGAAAAGAAAGCAGAGAAGCTGCCCTCCCCACCATGTTTCAAGAGAATAGAGCCCTCTTAGCTCTTTGTACTCTCAGCCCTGTTTGCTTATCACTTGCAGCTCAGACAGACAGCTGCAATTCCCACCGGCTTTCCAGAGGAGATCAATTATCCCACCTAGGAACAAAGCGCCCAGGAACCACTTAATCACACTTTTCAGAGAAGTAAGAGGAGAAACTGTCCCATCCCTGGCAGAGGGGCTGGCAAGGATGTTCTGGCAGTGTTCGAGGTTGGAATACCAAATGTTAGACTTGTTCTAATAAAGACATTTGGACTGCAAGACAGAATTTTTCTTTCTTTGCTGAGCTGATAGCTAGATGCCGCCTGCCTTCAGGGTAAAACAGCACTTGTATGGGTGAAATATTTTGTTGGCAGAAATATTCTCTCTCCAGGAAAGCACAATCAAAGCAGCCAGCATATGCAATGATAGGACACAGACCTTTCAGAGAATTACACCCCATCCCAGGAGGGTAAGCTATGTAAATACAAAAAGGAAAGAATTCTACTCTGCACGAAAGCAGATTCTTGCCCTGCATTGCCAAGAGACTAAACTTAATCACTAATCCTCTGTATCTTGTAGCGGAGGCAGAACTCCAAGCCACAGGACTGTGGTGGTGTAGCAGGAATATTTCCCCAGAGACAGCAGCTCAGAGAAGAGGTAAAGTACATCACAGCTTTGGAGTGACAAGATTGCTATCGCAGCCTGTGCCTCATTACTATATCCAGCCTTCAGCACAGATCTATGATGCCTTTCCAGGATTAGCCTACTTCTAAAGCTAAAGAAAGTCTCTCTTAATTTACAGCCTGTTACTTATTTAACACCAGAATCACATTAATTGAGAGTGCCTTTGGGCTATCCCAGCATTTTAGCAGTATGGTGTACTTGGAATACCACATAGGACTAGAGAGTGTACAGAGCGATGCCAAGTGCGGTACTTGGCTTAGAGCATGTTTTTGGTATACAAACATTTTGGCCTCATACCTCGAAGCACAGAATCTGATAGTATATTTTTTAAATACTGGGGTTTTTTTGCCTCCCAAGATTCCCATGAATGGTCATCTTAATAAAATGATGATAATCTCTGTATATGGCTTCAAATAATGGAAATACAAAAATGAGAATTGGAGACAAGTCAGCCCCCAAAGTTCTGGCCTAAGGATCCCCTGCTTTGCATTCTGGTATAAAGCCCAAGTGCAGCAAAGTGTGTTATAACTTTTCTTGGGGTCAAAACTATTTGTAAAATACATTCCTTTAGGACACCGTAACTCAGATGAAACAAAAGAAAGCTTGTTACCAGAAGTATACACAGGCCTCTAAATATGCATTTTGATATCAGAATGGTATCAGAATGATTATTTTGCTACTTGCATCCTTTCCATCACCTTGGCACTTTTTTTTCCCCCAAACCAAAAGGCCATCTTGAAATAGGGACGATGGACAGCTATTGTGCAACATTAAAGACCACTTGCTTATAATTTATTACCAGTAATGAGCCTCAGCTCATTATTAGGATTATTTTTCTAAAGGCAAAGCAATTAAAAGTAATAGATATCTGCTTCAGCTTAGAATAATGAGGACACTAAAAAAAGTATATAAACAGCTAGAGTATGTGCCAGCTATGCAGGCAGAGAGATCTCTAATTGAATGGGCAGTACACCTGCAGCACAGGCAAGTCAGACAAACACATCATCTATCACGCTGAAGGAAAATTAGTAAGAACAGTAGTGCATCCCACAAGTGATTACCCAGCTCCCTTTCAATGACCTACTTTCCCTCTGATCCATAGCTGTTCATGCTGTCCTCAATGGACTCATGGCTGGCTTGACGGACGGTCCGGCTGGGCATTTCGACAGCCAGCCCAGTTTCTGTGCTCCTTTGGATGGCTCCTTTCAGTCTCCGACCATCCCCATCTAGGAACAAAAGGGAAGAAAAGACAGTCAGCTGTTGTTCCCAGAGCCTTCTGCAACGACAGGCAATGACAGAGTCAAGCAGAAGCAGAGAAGGTCTTTCAGAAGATCAGCCTGGCATCTGGCAGCCAGGCAGTATTTTGCACTCATGCAGCGTTTCGTTACCCAGCCCTGCTTCATCAGCAGCTCCCAGTCATCTTTGGAACAAACCCAGTGCTCCAGCAAGCCAGGGCCCAGCAGAAACTCAAAACATACATACCACCCTACCTACTCCAACCATTTGTACCAATTAATTGTGCATCGAGTGCAGATGCATGCAGGCACACAAGCTGGCTATACGTGGAGCTACCCCGTTTGGGAACCACGGCAGCAGTAACCACGGGCAGAGCTGAGGTGGACAGCCTGACCATGCCTCAAAATGTTTCCTATATCCCATGTTGCTCCCTCAGATTGTGTGGAGCAGCAAAGAGCCACAGCTCCTGGTGAGCATCAAGGGAGTAGAGGGGAGGAAAAGGCCAGGCAGCACCAGAGGTGCTGCGAAGGCAGGAGCCCTCCCAGACAGGCCATAGGGAAATAGTTGGGCACGGCCAAAACGTTCCCTGGTGGCGCCTGGAATGGCATCAGGAGTGGAGAACCCTGGAGAGGACTATTCCGCTTCGCACACGCCCTCGGCCAGAGTGCAGAGGGAATTAAGCAGGTTCTGGTTCCTCCTGGGTGCAGTCTTCAGAGGATCATGCCTCTGAAATTAACAGCTGCTATTTTCATCCTCCATCTCTAGCAGTCTGTTTCTCAGAACAAACCACGTTATGTAACGGATATGTAATGAATACCATTACTATTAATTGCTTTAGCTGGTGTTAGGAAGCTCCAGATTTCATCCCACATACAGCACTCATCCTGAAACACATCTGCTACAAGTTTTCTGCAAAAGCAGAATTATCTAAATCCTTTAAAAGTGTCCATCCGTTAACCTGGATTCAGGCAACAAACCTCTGACCCACGGTGCTCTCAGAAACCCACCAGCTTTTTGAGTACCACCCTGGAGAAGAAATGACGCAGCTATTGAGGCTAGAGAACTCAGGATCCCCAAATATTAAAGAAAAGTCTTTCCCAACTACTTTGGAAATATGAGGATGTCTGTAAGAACCTGTCTCAATATGCAGAACATTGTTATTTGTGTAGCAAGCTGCTTGACCTAAAACACTTTTCTTTGGATCTTGGTGTGAACAAGCACTTTTAAAAACAAACAAACAAACAAATCAGTAATACACCAGAAATGCTTCCTATCCTACTTCTCAAATTATACCTACACTGAAATGCAAGGGCAAAAATTCTTGTATAAACTCAGCTATAAAGTCCCGTTTACTCTGGTATCATGAGGTTTCCAACTGAGTAAACGTGTTGGCCCCAGGGCTCTGTACCAGCTGCTGTCCCCACATTTGGTGCAGCATGTGTATGCATGTCCCTATGGGCTAAGAGGATAGAATATGCATGTTCTGGGTTAACATTAACTACAGCTTGTACTGTATGTGTGCCTAGAGCAATGTATGAAGCACATTGTATAAATCAGGAAGTCACACAAACGTAAAACATATTTTTAATGTGCTTTCAAAATCCAAACCTTCAGGCAAGAATAACAATATAGGCATCAATAAAAGCAAAGCCTCGTGAAACGGCCTTACCTAGTTCCCCAACCACTGCCGAAGAGTTCCCTTTGATGCACCTTCAACAAGCCTTGTACAGCTTGCTGGATCCTCTGATGGTGTTTCTAGCTTCCTTTCAGAGAGCATCCTTACAGCCTTGTGGGCAGACTTGATGATCCATTTAATTGTCTCGCATTCATCTCCACAAACAATCTTTTAGTCACCTACATCCATCAATGCCCATCTCTCCTTCACGTGTGCACTCTCAGAACACTCACCCTTCTGCGCCTTTTAGGTCAGTCCTTACGAAAGCCCTGGCAGGTACCCACAGTCAAAGCAGCAAATTACATAAATGTAGGAAACAAATTAAAAATGCCCCGTTGCCCAACTATGCAACATCTGTTTAAAAAAAATCTCTTATTTCCCCAATCTAATGAGACGCCTGGAGACACTCAGAAGACTATGCATCCACATCTGGCAACAAACAAGAGGCTCGGGACAGAGCAAGGCTTTAGAGCAACCCAAGGTGCTTCCTGCTTTCTATTAGCCATCTCCTGAATCAAAGCTAATGACATAAAGCAGAAGGGGCCAAAGACAAGGAAAAGCAGCACCGTGGAAGACAGGCAGTACCAGAGCACTGTACTGGAGACAATTCAGCTGGCATGGGGCAAGTTCAGCTGTAGCACCACATGCACAGCTTTGCACTGCTGGCTTTTCCATGAGTGGGTGGTTTTCTATTCTACCGGTGTATTCCTGTTTGCTTTTACACATTGATATTCTTATTTAAAAAAAAAAAAAGAAAAAAATTATAGTGGAGAAACTCTGGAAAACAAGACGACAGGAATAGGTGACAAGAATCCTTCGTTCCTCCCTCCTCTCCCAGACAGAGATGCACAGTGACTCCTCCATCTCACAAACCTCTCCCATTATTCTGAAGAAAGGTTTCCCCAGCCTTTTTCCCCTCCAGTCTCTTTTTGCGAGAAGTTTCCCTCGAACAGAAGAGGAGGAACCTGTTTTGCCAAAAAGTCAAGCTCCCAAACCACTGTGGCCAGAGTCAAGACTGAAACAGGGTAAGAGATTGGCATAAGCAGCAGAGATGCCATCAGAAATGGGACACAGGTTCCTAAATCACTCACTTAAACCCTTTAGTCAAACTTTACCCATAGTCAGCACATTACAAAAATACAGTGTTTTAACCCCCTCAGTTGGGAGAGAAGGGCGGATCAGGAGTAGCACACCTGGACAGGGTCAGTGCAGAAAGGGAATAAATATGGACAAAGCTGCACTGCTCATCTGCTGACCGAAAACATTTCACAAGCAACAGTCACCTACTAGCAACCTTCTCTGGTCAGTATGGAGCACCGCATAGGGGCTGTGCCTCCTCCCTCACCTGAAATCTTGTGCTTCAACACCTTTGCAAATCAAGAAGGTAAAATGGTATGTGGGTGCTGCCTGGCAAAACCATGTGTCTGAATTTAATTGTTAGTGGTATCTGGAACAAGTAAGAGTAGTACTGACATCTTCTGCAGCATCACCAGATTTATTCCCTGTACCTTTTCCAACTAAGCAGTAAACGACAAAGGTTAAGCAGCCGGTCACGCCTGGAGTGCAACACGCAGCTGATTCTGCTTCAGAATGACCTTGGGAAGAAGAAATTTTTTGCTCAAATATTCAGGATGAAGATACACAGCACCCTGCAGACGCCAAGAACCAGAAGGGACCAGCAGACACTTTGCCAAGTTCTCCGTGTTGACAGGCACTTAGATTTCGCTCTGTTCAGCCTAACAATTTACGTTTGGCTGAAGAATATCTTCTAAAAAGCTATCCACTCTGGATTTGAAGATATCGAGAGATGAAGAATCAGCCATTTGCCTGTTCAGTTTATTTTACTACCTGACATTTAGAGATGTGACTTAAGTTTGTCTGGTTTCAGCTTTCACCCATCAGTTTTTCTAATGCCCTTCTCCACTGCGAGGGCTGCTTTGTGTTCTCACTACAAAGACTCTTCTGCAGCATAATCAAGTCATCTCTCAATCTTTTTTGACAAGTTAAACAGACTGAGCTCTTTATGTTTCTCATGCTCTGGCATTTTTTTCTCCTGCCCTTGAATCTTTTTAATGACCTCCCCAGGTTTTAAAGAACGTGCACAGCAGAATTGGAGACTGCATTTTAGTGCAAAAACACGTACAGAGGTAAAAATCAGCTTGTACTCTCATCTTCACTGCTTCTGCTTGCATCTCCCAAGACCACGGTAAGCTCTTGGTATAGCATCACACCTCACACCCGGACGCTGTGCAGTCCCTGCCTGTCCTGCTGGTACGACCTTGTAGAACATTATATTAAGGAATATGTAAGAAAACACATTTTATTTGAAGAGAGAGAGTAAAAAGTCCAGACAGCTCTATACAACTCTCCCACCCTCAGTACTATTTACTATCCTTCTAATGTGCATATCACCTGTGAATTTAGTCAGGTTTAAACTCATGCTTGCTCCAAATCAAATGAAAACGCTGAATAGCACCAGGCCTTCAAAAGAGCCTCCTGCCTTTGAGGCTTTTCCTTGACAACTGCTTTTTGAAATGTGAAGTAAGTTTTTAATCTATTTATCACTATCACATTTTTTAGGGTCATGTTGTTCTAGGACAAAACCCTTACATACTTACCACATTTACCCAGATACCTGCTTCTACTAAAACTCGGAGGAAAACAATGTCTGACAAGACCCATTTTCCCTAAATCGTTCTTGACTGGTATTAATTATATTCCATCATTTTGGTCTTTATTAATTGGATCTCATTATCATGTTTCCCCTAATTCTGTCTGTGAGTGACATCAGACCAACTAACAAAAAGTTCCCTCCAGACAACCCAGTAATGGACAAAGAAGAGTAAGGTGACCGTGCAGGTGCCCTGCATAGCACAGAGCATCCTTTGGAGAGTTCCCTTCCTTAAATATATTTTCAGCTCTTCTGAGGCAGCTCTCCTCCAGGATGACGCCACTCCTGTGGCAGAACTGACTGCCACCAATTGTATTTGCCTCAAATTTTGGGGGTGGGAAAATAAGAGCAGCATTGTCCCCTTCTCTCCCCCAAGGAAAGAGTCACCATTTCTCACGTCCTCTTCTACGTCAGTCTAACGCACGACCCTTCGTGGCCCTTCCTCTCTGCTACTGACAGGTCTCAGGGGCCATCAAGCCTTGAAAAAATCCATGCAAGTTGCGCAATAGCTCATCACAAGGTCATAATTATAGAATTATTACTCCCGTACAGAATTACTCTATGATAGATGTTTATTGAGGGACAGAGTGTGCCCCTTTCACTGTTATCCTTACACTACCCTCCTCTCTTGTCACTTCC